CTTTCAGGAGGGTCGTCCATGAGGGGGGGATGCTGTGGAGAATTTCCGATAGGTTGCTGGACAGCGAGTGACAACCCTTTAGGGTGGTGCGCAGGTTCTGTTCGTTGAGCCACTCTTTTCGGTCTTCGGACCACAGATGTTTGATCTGCCATRCCCCTCGTTCTACCCATGAGAGCCATCTGCGGTCTTTGGGGCGGAGGGTCCAGGGTTTCCCCTCTGTGTCTTTTATCCAAGGATTGCAGAACAGGGGCTGTCTTAGGACTTCCTCTTTGTTGCGCGGAGCGCCTTTCTTTTCTGGTATCAGTCGGCGCCAGGCTTTCARGATTGATGACCAGTAGGGRTTGGTTGTGGTGGAGGGATGACAGGGTGTTGTGGGGTGAGTTCTCCTTGTTGACCTCCCTGATTTGATTGCCCATTCCTTTGCCATGATCCAGAATAAGCCCCTCATGTTCTGTGGGGAAGCTACCGGTGCCAGGTTCCTTATGCTGTCGAGTGCCATCTTGGTCCACGGGAGGGCCTGCTTTGTTAGGATTTTGATAACCCATTTCATCTGGAGGGCGATCGCTTCCTGTTTCGGATCGATGATGCCTAGTCCTCCTTCGTGTGGTTTCCTGATGACGACTTGCCATGCTACTTTATTTAGGCATGTGGTTCTGCTGGGGTCTCCGGTCCATAAGTAGCATCTGGCCCTCGCTTTCAGATTTTTCAGGTCGTCATCGAGCGGGGACCATATGGAGGCCATGTACCACAGGGTTGAAAAAACGGCCGCGTTGATGATCAGCGCTCTCCCTAGCAGGGAGGCCTGGGCTTTCCTACAGGGGGCTAGACGAGTTATCGCTCTGGCAATCAGGGTCTCACCCATCCCTTGCCAAATGCCATCTTTGTTTACCATAATACCCAAGTACCGAAGAGCTTGGTCTCCTGTGGACCATGACATTGGGGTGGAAGAGTCTGGGGGTTGGGGGGGGGTGCCTTCTGCCAGCCACCAACCTTCGGTTTTCTCCCAATTCACCTTCATTTCTGAGGCCAGTCTGAAGGCTTCCATAGCGCGGGCTAGGGCTTGAAAGGAGGCCTTGTTGGCGCGGATGAGGACTGTGAGGTCGTCCGCGAACATCAGTGCTGTGGGGAGAGCGAAGTCGTGAAGGGGATTGTAGTTTTGTTCGGCCAGGCGGTCTATGGATGGGTCCTTGCGCAGAAAGGAGGCATTTGTCCGTTAGTTTTATGATTCTGTTGGCTAGTGCCTTAGCGAGGATCTTGTAGGGCGTTGTGAGGAGTGAGATTGGCCTGTAGTTCTTTAGATCTTCCTTGTCTTCCTTCTTGTAGATCAAAGAGACTACGCTGGTGCTCAGGAACTGGCCCAGGCCTCCCTTCTCCCTGTTGTCGTTTATGAAATTCAAGAGGTCATTGCCCAGTATCGGCCAAAATGGGACCAAAATTCTTTGGACAGCCCATCGATACCTGGTGCCTTGTTGCTTCCCATCTGGGACAGGGCTGCGTGGAGTTCTTCTAAGGTGATTGGTTTGTCCAGATCCTCTGTATTTTCCTGCATGATCGTTCTATCTAGGTTCTTCAACATGTGCTGGTGGGCGTTGATATTTGTTGTTGGGGGGGGGGATGGGCTCTTGGCCTCGTAAAGATCAGCATAGAATGATCTGGCGATCCTTACCATGTCTGTGCCGGTTGACTTTGTCTTCCCCTGATCTG